TGGCCCTGCAGTGAGGAAGGGGCTCCCGAGCTCCCCGTCCTGCGCCGTGGACGTCCTTCAGCAGCAAGTTCTGGAGACGTTCCCTGCCGCGCGGGACTTCATCCTCCCTTTGCCCCTGCAGACAGGGCGCCCCGGGGCCCGCTCTGCCTCCCTCTCTCCCCAGGAGGACGGTGTTTATCTGCCCTGCTCCTCCATCACTTAATTGCTCCCCGATGTGGAGCCTCTCCGATGAGGCCTGCCTTGGAAACCATCTCCCGCGGGACGGGACGGGTTCCGCGGCGCGGGCGGCCTCCTCGGCTCCTTCCCCATTTGTGCCGCGCGGCCTCCTCGCCTCCTCCCCCATTTGGGCCGCGGCTCCAGCCGGGCTCTTCTCCCCCGGCCCACATTGAGCCACCCCGAACCTCCCTCGGAGGAGCTCAGACAGCAAAGGCGCTGCTGCTTCCTTCTGTCCTGTGCTGCGGATCCAGCGACGAAGCCTCAGAGCCACAGCTGCATCCTGTGAGAGGGACCCGTTCCTTTCCCGAGGCCCCGGCACACCGCAGGGACAGCAACCCACAGGGAATCCCTTCTCCAGGGGGACTTCTTGCACAGCGGTAGCTTTGCACGCCGTGGCCCCGCGGGCTCCGGGATGGGATCGGCCTCGCTGCTCCACGTCCAGAGCTCTGCACAGAAGGAACCAACGCAACGGCAGCCTCCCGCTTCCTCGGAAATCATTCCGCTAGCAGTTGTTTGGATTGCAACAGCCCTTCAATGCCACGGAAATAAGATTCCTTCTTGTCAGCAAGTGTCAACGAAATCCTTTCTAATGGGACGCTCAGTTAACGCTGCTTTTTGCCACCGAGCTGTGCCAGCAAAGCATCAGCCCTGGGTAACTTCAAGCTAGAGCAGTGTTTTGTCCGGAGCTACAGAGGAGCCGACAGCTGCCGTGCCAGAGAATCCAGCTTGTTCCCTTCCACTGTATCCATGTGCAGGAAAAGTCTCCTAATCCCTCAGCTAGCAACCCAACAAACAGAAGAAACTCCTCCTCTTGCTGATTTTGCCCTGGCCAGCACAAACTGCCCATGTCACGCGATGCTGAGAGCCAGGCCCATCCATGCGGCCAAGCAAGAAGGGCTGGAAGCAGCTTCCTCCTCTCGTGGCTGCGTGGGGCAGAGCTCCTGCCTTGCGGACATCCTGCAGGACCCCATCTGCACCTCGGCACCGCGCTGGAGCTCCAGCACCTTCCCAGCTCCCCGGGCACCCATCCTCACCCCCGGATCCCTTTGCTCCTCAATCCCTGCTCGCAGAGCGAGCGGGATTCGGCTGCCGACGAGTCTTGGATGCCGAGACCTGCTCTCCACGGAGGCTCTGCCCGGCCCCTGCCCAAGCCCAGCTCGGCGGCCCCGTCCTGGGCATCCTGCTGGAAAGGGACGCCCTCCTTTCCCCGCGCAGGAGCGGGAGCAGCGCTGGCTGCTCCGGCAGTATCAGCAGGCACCAGGCCCCGGGGATCGGCTCCCACCACGTGACGGAGAAGCGGGACTCGGCCTTGGTGCCAAAGGGAGTTGCCGCCTTGGATTCCCTGCTCGAGCTGCTGCTGAACAACCAGCAGACACGAGGAGGCCAAAGGATTAACGCGTGTTTAATAATCCACTGATTAAAAAGCCCCTAAGCGCTCACTGGCATGGATGGGAGTCACTGGGGGCCGCTGTGTCCTCCAGCGCCCAAAGAGCAAATTAAGCTCCTCATTAAAGCGGGGCAGAACAGAGCAAAGGGCCCTGAGTCACCAGCGCCTCGAGCGGCTCTGCACGCCGGGTGACACTGCCGGGGAGGAGAGGCGGCTCCGCGCGGCCGAAACTGCGAAACAAAGAGCAGATCGGATTGATACCAGCCGCTCCGGGCCCCGCGCGGCCGCTCGGGCCTTCCAGCCCGCGCCGCGCGCTCCGGACGTCGCCGCAGAGCCCCGCGGGACGCCCAGGTCAGCCTGGGCTCCGTTCCCCCTCCGTTGCTCTTCCGTGTATTTAGGCTCCGTGGGTTGCTTCCTCATTTTGCAATAACAAAGTTTACGAGTTGGAAACTCCCCTGGTTTGATTTCTGTTTTTCTCCCCCCCGGCTTAAGTTTTAATTCATGCGAATAAAGCAGCAGCTCTGGAGGTGGCGATTAGCAGAGACCAGTTACAACTGGGTTCCTCCATCTACAGAGCACGTCTGGAAGAAATCACCCTCAATGAGAAGCTTGGGCTCTTCAGAATAACCGTAACAGGCACAAGAACCAGCTAACAGGAGAGCAGCGCGCGCAGGGGGAACAGAAACTCGAGCGCTGGTCAAAATACAGCCTTAACACAACGTATTTGGGCAGAAAAGGGAACGGGTTCACTAGCTCTGGCTTCTCACCAAACAAAGCCACTTTGGAGGCACTTGCACCTCTCTCCTTCCTCCCCAGCATTACCAAGCACCGCTCTGCTCCCCCATCACCTTCCCCTTCAACACAGGCACCCGCCGCCCCAAATGGCTACCCCTAAACTGGCCAGAGGTGCATCTAAAGGTGCTCCACGGGAGCCCCAAGCAACGGGAAACAACCGCGAAGCCAGAGCGGGACCCACGGCCTCTGCTTGGAGCTGCTTGGAGCTGCTCCGCTCCGAGACCGTTTCTCCTCCACCCAGCAGAGGAGCAGCCGGCGCTCCCTGGGTCTCGCAGACCTGGGGTTAATCCCATCGGCTCCCGGCGAGCGCCTACGGCAGAGCCCGGCTACGGCTCTGCGCTGTTTGTTCCCTTCCACTGCACCCATGTGCAGGAAAAGCCTCCTGCTACAACCCGCCAAGCACCCGGCTGCTGGCGGCTTCTTGGGGGGCTTTCAAACGCTTGGAAACCACGAAAAATGAGGAAAGATGAAGCAGGCAGCCACTCCAACAGAGCCAGACCCGCTGCCGAGGCCTCCTACCTGCTGAGAGGCTGTAGGAAAATAACACGGTCTAGGATTTAATTGGGAGCCTGTAATATTACCTGTGCTGACAGAGCTGCCATCTTAAGAAGCCAGGGTTTGGAGCAAGTCGTGCAAGAGATAAAAATCTGCGAGCATTTTCTGGAAGCTCAGAGCGAAGGGGGGTTTGGCAGCAGCTGCCCTCATTTCCTTCCAAAGCGACTGGAAACGCGGCCCGTCGGTGCCTCGCTGGCCTCGTCCGCAGCAGCGGGGCCCCCGAGCCGTCCCCCCGCGTCC